ATAACCCCCCCCCCCCCCCCCCCCCCCTACACACACACCATCGCTCTGCACATCCGCCTACTGTATGCTCGTTCTCAGTCCTCGCCTGGTCCCCTGCCCCCCACCCCCCACGCAGTCATGAACCTGCTCCTCCACCTGAGCCGCCAGTTCCCGGCCAGGGGGCGCGGCACCGTCTTCCTCATCATCAACTTTTCGTACGTTGCGGGCGTGCTCAAGGTGCGTGGTGGTGGGTGTGGTGGTGGTGCGTGGTGGCGCGTGTGGGGCCGCCTCCAGAGGGCGCAGGCATCAAGCAACATGTATCAAGTGTGGCCATCGGATGCAGGATGTGTGCATGGCAGTCCTGGGGTGACCCCTGCCTGACCCCTCCCTGCCTGCCTTCCTGCCTGCCTGCCTGCCCGCCTGCCCAAGCAGGAGGCTCACGCCAAGGGCCTGCCCGCCACGCCCGGCACGCTGAGCACGGGGGCTGAGACGACCGGAGGGCTGGGCAGCGCAGGTGGGGCGGCCAGCAGCCAGCGCGCCACCAGGCGGGCACCAGGCGGGCCAGCCGGGGCGGGGAGCTGGGTGGGCAGCGGCAGCTGCTGCGTGCCGTGCCGGAGCGGCGGCTGCTGCCTGCCGTGCTGTGCAAACGCCGTGCCAGCTACTCGCCTGGGGCAGCGGATGTATGCGTGGGCCCGCCTGCAACGGCGTGGCGTCGTTGGCCAAACTTTCTTCCAAGAGAACACCACGTGTGCTCCCGCAGGGCTGGCGCTGCTCAAGGAGTTTGAGGACAGCCTGGCCCGCTGCACCTCCCTCTACACAGACGACCAGCTGGCCCGCCTGGCGCCGCAGCTGGTGCGCCGGCGCCGCCGCTGCTGCTGCTGCTGCTGCTCCTATTGCCGCCGATGCCGTGGTGCTGGCTGGCTGGCTGCCCGGCAGGTCGAGCTTGCAGGGCTGAGGCTGGCGTTTTGTTTTGTTGTTGGGGCATGGGGATAGCCCTGGAAGCCCCTGCCTGCCGCCCAGCGCTGGCCTCTCCACCCCCTTGCGCCCTTTAGCTCCCGCCCTTCACATTCCCCGGCGCCGTCGTCGCCCCGCAGGTGTCGTTTGTGAAGCGGGGCGAGGCGGCGGCTGGCGGGGTGCCCCATGGGCAGGAGGTGCCCGGGTTCAGCCCCGCGGAGGCGGCGCCCGTGGCCGCAGACTTCTCCCACAAGTGGCAGCACCTTGTGGAGGCCGTCAACAGGCGGGTGGTGGTGGTGGTGGTGGTGGTGGTGGTGGTGGTGAGGGTGTGCGTGTGTTGTGGTGGTGGTGTACGTTTGCGTGTGCGTGTGTGGTGGTGGTGTGCGTGTGCGTGTGTTTGTGCCCCGACAGGTCGGGGGGCAGCTGGGCAGGGCCTTGCCCCCAGCATGACCCGCCAGCTGAGGCCCGGCGAGCGCCGCCGCCGCCGCAGCTGCTGCCGGCTGCATGTGTCGCCAGGCACGCTGAGCGTGTTATACTGCTGCCGGTGTGCTGCGCAGGGAGGTGGGCAAGGACTTTGGGGCGACCGCTGCAGGGCGCTCCGTGCTGCAGTCCGCCTTCACCCAGCTGCTCCTGCACTACAACCGCTTCCTGGAGCTGTGCAAGCGGCAGGGGGCGGCGGGGATGGGGGTGGTGCAGGGCGCGGTGACGCTGCCCTCCATTATGTACTACATCAAGCAGTACAGCAGGTAGTGGTGCTGTGGTAGCGCGGGCAGCCAGCGGCACATGCCGCCAGCCAGCGGTGCAGCGTGGGCGCTCCCGAGTGCCTGTGCCACACTATTATCCGCCCTCGTGGTACTGTAAGCGTCGCGGCCAGCCGAGCCTGCCCTGGCAAGTATGCGCTGCTTACAGGGAGATCCCTAGGAGTTGATTGAGTCCCGCTTAGGGGAAAGGAGGTAGTAGTGGTGATACACAGGGCGGCGTGCTCGGGTGGCCCCACAGCCTGGACCTGAGCCGCGTTGCGCTGCCCGGTGCTGACGCGATTGCAGGTGGATTGCGCTCACAAAAAACCCGCTGGCTGACACTCAGCGTTCCAAAACCTTTTCAGAGCGCTCAAGGCTCAAACTGTGCACGTGGCGGCGCCCGCTCAGCTGCGCACTCCACTCAGCCGCTCAGCCGCGGCCGGCCCCCGGCTGCGGCTGCACGGCGCCGTTGGGCGGGCGGTACGCGCCGTTGGGCGGCTTGACGGAGCCATTGGAGGCCGGCCCCGCTGCGGCGGCCGCGGGTGCGGCGCCGCGCACCGTCTCCTGCCGCTGCTCCGTGGCGGTGGCCGAGCGCTGCAGGTAGCTCTCGATGAATTTCCTGCACAGCAAAGTGAGTGGTGGTGGTGGTGGCGGGACCATCCACGGGAAGGCATGGCGGTGGGGTTGGTGCTGCTTGGGTGAGGCTGGTGCTGCTGGCACAGTGGGGTGCTCGGTTGCGTGCGCCGGCATGTGCACCCACCACTGACCCCACCACACCACCACACACCTGCTCTCTGCCAGCACGGCATCCTTCTTGGAGGCGGCGTCCCGCAGCTCCCCGTTCTGCCGCTCCAGCGCCTGCACGCGCTCCAGCGCCGCCGCCAGCTGGGCCGCGCTGGCGCCGCCGGCAGCGGCCCCTGCACACGCAGGCGTGGGCGTGGGCGCAGCACGGTCCAGGGGTGAGCAAGGGGAGGTGAGGCATCCAGAGGCGAGACATCCAGGGGCGAGGCATCCAGGGGCACTGGCAGCAGGCGTGTGGAGAGGCGCAGGCTGGCAGGCAGCTGGCACGGCTCTGGCTCCGGCCGTGGCCGCAGCAGCGGCGCAAGGCCCCCAGCAGCCAGCCAGCCGGCCCGACACCCCCAGCTGGCCAGCCCCGGCAAGCCAGCCCACAGCAGGCCGCGGCAGCCCACCTGCGGGCGCCGCCGCCTGTGCCGCCACCTCCTCCCTCAGCCGCTGCACCTCCTCCTTCAAACCCTGGTTCTGTACTACCAGGGCCTCGGCCTCAGCCTCAGCCTGGGCAGCCGCAGCGGCGGCCGCAGCCAGCTCCCGCTCCAGCGCGGGGCTGGGGCCGGGCGGCGGCGGCGGCGTGGCGGCCGCCGCCCTGACCCCGCCCAGAGACTTCTCCCGAAGCTCACTAGCCTCAGCCTCCGCCGCCTGCGCCCGCGTCAGCGCATCGTCGACCGTCTGTGGGCATGGGGAGGCATGGGGAGGAGGGCCAGCACAGTGAGCATGGATGGGGCAGGCAGGCAGGCAAGGCTGGCAGGCAGGCAGGCAGGGCTGGCAGGCAGGCAGGTGTTGGGGCAGGAGCACGCAAGGCATTCAGGCGCAGGCGCGCCGGTGTCTAGGAGCAGCCCGCGGCAGCGGGACAGCCGGCGGCAGCGGGAGCAGGAACCAGAGCAGCCGGGACCCCAGCTTGGGCCCGGCCCGGCCCGGCTTGGCCCCAGCGCCTCCTTCCCTTGCCCGCTCCCGGGGCGCTGCCTCCCAGCCAACTCACCGCCTGCTGCTTGAGGAGCTGCTGCTGCAGGAAGTCGAGCTCATCCAGCAGGGCATCCGCGTCGGCCTGCGACAGCGCGCCCAGCGCGGCGGCCTGCGGGCGGGGAGGGCGGCGGGGAGTGGGAGTGGGAGGCAGCAAGGCAGCACGAGGGGGAGCGCTGCCGGGCTTGCTGGATACGCGGGTGGCTCGCCAGGGCTGCATGCTCCCAAGTGTGTACAGCCTGGGAGCGCAGACAGCGAGCAGAAAGTGAGCCACGGCTGCCCACCTCTGACCCCTGGCCGCCCTCCTCCTCGCTGCCGCCACCCTCCTCCTCCTCCTCCGCCGCCGCCGCCTGCCGCGACTGCATGACCGCCAGCAGCTGCTCTCCCAGCATGCGCGCCGCCGTCTCGGCCTTGTCCAGTACCGCCGCCGCCGCCTCCGCCTCTGCCGCCACCGCCTGCCGCAGCTGCTGCATGCGGGCGGTCGCCTCTGCCACCTCAGCATTGCGCTCATCCTGCTCCTGAGCCAGCAGCCCCTTCTGCTCCTCAAGCTCCGCCTCCAGAGCCGCCACCTCCCGCTGCAGCGCCGCCACCTGCCGCTGCGCCTCGGCCGCCTCGGCGGCGGCCGCCTCGGCAGCGTACGAGCCGCCGCCGCGGCGCGCGGGCGTCGGCGGCGCCGCGGCGGCGGCCGCGGCCTGCGCCCGCGCCTCCCGCAGCTGCTGCTCCAGCGCCAGCAGCTGCCCCTCGCGCTGCTGCAGCTCCCGCCGCAGCGTCGCGGCCTCCGCCTCGGCGCCGGCCGCGCCGGCCAGCTGCTGCTCCACGGCACGCAACTGCGCCTCGCGCTGCTGCAGCTGGTGGCGCAGGGAGGCGGCCTCGCCCTCGGCGGCGCGGCCACTCGCCAGCCGAGCCTCCAAGTCTGCCACATGCTGCAGCAGCTGCGCGGCCTGCTCCTGGGCATCGGCGGCCGCACGCACGTCGGCGGCGCGGCCGGTCTGCTCCCGAGCCAGCTGCCCCTCCAGCTCCTGCAGCCGCCGCTCCACATCCCGCAGCTGCCCCTCCCGCTGCTGCAGCTGCTGCCGCAAAGAGGCAGCCTCCGCCTCGGCGGCCCGCCCATCGGCCAGCCGCGCCTGCAAATCCGCCACCTGCCCCTCGCGCTGCTGCAGCTGCCGGCCGAGCACCGCCGCCTCCTCGCGCGCGGCCGCGGCCTCGGCCTCGGCCTCGGCGGCGCGCCCGCCCTCGGCCGCGGCCACAGCCGCCTGGGAGCCCTGCTCCTGCAGCCTGCGGGCCAGCTCGTCCGCCTGCTCCTCCCGCTGCTGCACCTGCTGCTTCAGCAGCGACACCTGATCCCTCAGCAGCTCGGCCTGTTGCTCCAGGCTTCCCCGGGCAGACTCAGCTTCCTGCACACCAAGGGAGGGGCAGCGGGGCGTGCAAAACCAGGGAGGGTGAGGCAGCGACAGGCCGTATGGCCTGTTTGGCTACTGCTGCTCAGCGTCTCCAGGGCCGAATCGAACACCAGCAGCACAAACGCCTGGTTCAGCAGCCGAGCACGCCGAGCAAGCATCAAGCACACCCTTTGGCGAGCCACAGCAAGCAAGCGCCCGGCTCGCAAGCCACACAACACGCCGGACACGCGGCGCGGCACGCCCCTCGGCAGCAGCAGAGCAAGCCGAGCACGCGCCGCGGCACACCCTTTGGCGAGCCACAGCAAGCAGGCGCCCGGCTCGCAAGCCACACAGTAAGCTGAGCACGACTTGCGGCGGCGCCACCCCACCTCTGCGGCCGCGGCTGCCAGGTCCAAAGCCTCCTGCTGCTCCGCCAGCAGGCTGCGGAGCGCCTCCGCCTCCTGCGCCAGGCGGCTGGTGGCGCTGGCGGCGTCGCCGCGGGCCGCCACCTCGTGCAGAAGCTGGTGGGCAGCTGCCAGCTCGCTCTGCTTCTCCGCCAGGCGAGCCTCCAGCACCGCCACCTGGCAAGAGGTGGAAAGCATCCCACACGAACGCCGCCCTCAGGTCTCACGGCGGGCGGCAGCTCAACTAATTCCCGCTGGAGGCAGCCGCTGGCGGCCGCCCGGGCACACGCCAGGCTTGAAACAACTCAGAGCTCTGCGCCCTCGCCTGCTGCGCGGCCTCTGCGGCGGGCCCGCAGCCCACGCCCACACCCACGCCCACCGGCCCGCAGCCGGCCCGCAGCCGGCCCGCAGCTGATCGGAACCTGCCGCTTTCCCACCTGCTCGTCGGCGGTCAGCCCCTCCATGTTGCTTTCCGCCAGGGACAGCGCCTCCTCAAACTCGCGGTACCGCGCTGCCGCCGCCGCCTGCTCCGACCGCCGCAGCGCCTCCAGGTTCTCCAGCTGCTTCTGCAGTACCTCCATGGCCTCCGTCCTGCGCAGTACCAGGCGCCCGACAGCCGAGGCGCATTGAGCAAGGCAGGCATGCCACGTCCGCAGCACGCCAGGCCCGCGCCGCCAGCTGGCCAGCTGCCGCGCGAGACGGTGCACGGCACAGCGGCGTGCAAGCAGAGCGGTACGCCCCACTGTCCCGCCCGAGAGGGCAGGAGGCGGCCAGGTAGAAGCTGGGCTGTACGGGTTTAAGAAAGCAGCCACAAGTCACCTGGCCTCCAGCTCCACACGCAGCAGCTTGGCCGCCTCGGCCTCGTGCCGCAGCGCCTCCAGCTTCTGCTGCGCCTGCTCCATGTTCCTGCCGCCGCCGCGCCGCGACTCGGCCTGCGACTGCTGGATCTGCTGGCGCCGCCCGCCCTCTGAGGAGGAGCAGGCCGGCGGCGGCGCCAGGCGGCGCCGCCGGGGCAGCGCGCGCAGCGCCGAGCGCAGCGTGGGGCCCGGCCGCGCCGCGCACACCAGCGCGCCCGGCCGCCGCGCCGCGCCGCCCAAGCTCGCCGCCGTCGTGCACAGCGCTTGCATGGCTGCCCGACCTACGGCACCGACAGATGGGCCGAGCCGAGGGCTGCTGCTTGGCGGGGGGTGCCGCTGGTATGTGCAGCCGGTGCTCTATGCAGCCGCTGCGCCTATCCCTCCCGCCAGTTGCGGCCGCACTTGGCGCAGCGGTAGAAGAGGGTGGCGGGCTCGTCGGCGGACCGGATCTGCGGGGCAGGCAGGCAGGCAGAGGGCGGGGAAACGGGCGGGGTGTGGAGGCCCTGCCACACTGCTCACCTTCGCGTGCCTCCTGCTGTGGGTCCCAACTTCCCGCCGCTGCTGCCGCACCGCGCTGCTAACGAACAGGCAGCCAACAGGCGGCACCCGGGCCCTTCAGGCCCGCCTCCCCTCACCTGCGCCTCCTTGAAGTAAGCCTGGAGGTGGCCGCAGGTGTCGCTGGGGCAGCGGGCTGCGAGCGGGGCACGCGGTGGCAGCGGGCGCGCTCAGGCGCAGGCGGCGGCTCCGTGCAGGGGCCGCACGCCGACTCCCGGGCAGCTTCGGAGAGGGGAGGAGCAGCAGGCAGGCAGGCAGGCAGGCAGCGGCCAATGGGGTGGCAGAGCGGCACGCGGAGCGGCAGCGGCGGGGGGCAGGCGGGCGCTTCGCCCATGGCGCACCTTCGGTGCGAGGAGCGTTCTTCCACTCTTCCTCCCCACCAAGCACTGGCTCAACCTCCTTGCGTTGCAGCGGCACGCCCTTGGTGATCTGCGGGGTGGGCAGCGGGCGGGGAGCAGGCGTTTGGCGGGTGGGGGTCGGTGCAACGCGGGAGGCGGCGGCGGCGGCGTGATCGCGCGCGCGGCGGCAGCCCCAGGCGTCAACCTGGCGGTCGATGTAGTACTGATAGCAGCACGTCGAGCAGCTAAACTGGTTCTCGCCGTTGTGGTTCTCAACTGCAGGAGGCCAGAGCAAAGCGGCAGGGCGGGTGGGCGAATGGCGGCCTCGGCAGGGCCGGCCGCCTGCCTGGGAGCAGCACATTTGAACTCAGGCAGCAGGGAGGGCAGCCAGCCAGCGGGCTCACCCAGGAGCAGGTTGCCGCAAGTGGGACAAAACAGCAGGCCACTGCCCATGCCTCAGCAGAGCGCAGGGGCCTGACAGCAGGAGCCGGATGGGGCGTTACAGCTCCGCCAGGCACGATGGTGCGTGGTTTGGTTGATGCAGGCCGCCGCCCGGCACAGCGTAGCGCCCTCAGGGCGGCAAGGGATCCTCCACTTTATTGCGGCGGGCGCAGCTCCCCTCTCAGGCCCTGACACTCCCCCCCTGGAGCACCCAATCCATGCGCCATTCCACAGCAATCCCTGCATTCCTCGACCGGGCGGCTGCGCCGAGCGAGGCGGCCGCGCCGCCCGCTGTGTTACACATCCTGCCCGGCCGCAGTTCTGTAGGCTGGCTAGGCCTGCAGCCTACACAAACTCTGCGGGCTTGATGTCGGCACAGCCGGCGGTGCGCTCGTTCACAGCGCCCGCCCCGCACTGCGCGATGCCGGTCATGAGCGCGTCGGGGCCCTGGCGGGACAGCCGCAGCAGCTCCACCTCGTAACGCAGCGTCGAGCCACCGGGCACAATGCCTGCAAGCACCCACAGAGTCACACCGACGGCGGCAAGTAGGCCCATGCCTCAGTTGCAGGCTGCCGCATTCATTCGCACAGCGGCAGCTGTGCATGTTGCAGCAGGGCGTGGGGCAAAGGCACAGCTAGCAGGCAGCAGGCGCACCACCACAGGCCAGGCAGCCACACCCTGCACCCTTGCCCGGCGCGGCTCACCCACCGTAGGGCCCCCGCACGGTGCTGCCGCCAAAGCCGAGGGCGGCCGGCACCAGGAAGGTGCGGCGCCCGCCCACCACCATGCCCTCCACCCCCCGCTGAAGGCCTTCGCAGACGCCCGGCACTGGCGCGCCGCCCAGGCGGATGGCGACGGGCCGCAGGGCGCCCTTGCCGCCATCAAGGTACATCTGCGGCATCCGGTATACAGGCATGGAGGATGGCTTCTATGAGCGGCAGCCGGGTTATAGCGAAGGACCCACGTTCCATGCCGGCGGGGCGCAAGCTCAGCCTGCCATTCACGCGGTACGACGTGCCGGGCAGCGGCAGCGGGCAGGCAGGGCCTGCACCTGCCCGCCGCGCGTGCTGTCAAAGAGGCTGCCATCGCCGGCCAGCGCTCCCTCATAGTGGAGCAACACAAGGTCGCCGGGGCGGGCGGCGGCGGTGCCGCTCCCAGGCTCATCTGGCAACACTTTTTTGCCGGGCAAAGCCATTTGCCAGGCAAGGGTTGGGCCAGGCGGCTGGGAGGAGGGGTGCAAGGGAAACCGCCGCCGCCGCCGCCTCCCCTCCTGCCGCCGCCAGCCAGTTGCGCCGGGGGGCGACTGCAGCTGGGGGGGGCTGGGGTCTGGGAGGACACCGTGCTGCATCGCAGCGCGCTGGCAGCGGGCTGTGGAAGGCGCAGCGCGTCGTGGTAGAGGCTTGCAACCGGTTCATAGTTCGCACTAGGGTTGTGGGCCTGCAAGCTCGCCACAAACAGCTCCTGGGCTTGATCAATGGCAATTGATTGGCGATAGAATGCAATCATGAGAGGCAGCCACCGCAAAACATGAATGGTGGCGGGGCCAGCTACTCGCTTCTTTCGTGCTGTTTCTGGCATTGCGAGAGTCTGCAAGGATCAGTGAGAGCCAGACTAACACCCCCTTGCTTGTGCTCCACCCCGATCGTGCGATCGCCATGCCAAAGGCGACATCTCCTCCAAGTCGGAGCGCCGCTTTGGCGCTGGAGTTCACCGAGGGGCGCCAGACAGCCGCGGTGGCAGCGCCCGATGGGCCGGCAGCAGTGACGGCGGCCGCCGGCGGCGGCCGCGGGCCAGTGGCGCCAGTAGTGACGGCTGCCGGTGGCGGCGGGCGCGGGGTGGCGCAGGCATTTGCGGCTTGCTTCCTGCCCGAGGGCTTCCCACACTCTGTGTCGTCAGACTACCTCCCATACCAGCTGTGGGACAGCATCCAGGTGGGGAGGCCCGCTGAGTGTATTTGTAGGTGTGTGGGCTGCTACAAACACTCGCCGCGTGACCCCCTCAGCGTTGTTCCTTGTTTGTGTTGCACGCCATGCACGAGGTGCACCCAGCTGGCCTGCGCGTGTGGCCTGCACCCCCACCCAGGGCCTGTCCAGCTACCTGCGCGGCATGCTGTCCAGCCAAGCCATGCTGGCGGGCGTGGGGGTCGGCAGCGCCGCCGCCACGCCGCTCGGCGCCGTCTTCCAGGCACGCCCAGCCGCAGCCCGCCACGCCTGCCCTCCCAGCCTGCCCCTGCACCGCCTCTGAACCCCAGCACAAGCTTGGCCGCGCGGCCCGGTGGACTGTTTTATGCTTCACGCATCTCCTCTTCCCTCCCCTCCTCCTCTGCTTCTGTCTCGTGCCTCATGCACCACCCCTTGCCCGCCACCCCTGCTCCCCTCCTGCCTGCCAGTTCTTCCTCAAGGACTTCACGGGCATGCTGGGGGGCATCCTCTTCGCCTCCACCCAGGGATCCGGCCTGGACTGTTACGCCAAGCAGTGGCGCCTGCTGGCAGATGTGATGAATGACATAGGTGGGCCCTTGGTGTTTTCGGGGGCTGCCGGCCTGGTAGCACCATGGTTTAGGCCGGTGGGGCAGCCTGGCGCACGCTGCGCTGCGCTGGCGGGATGGCAGCCGGCGCCGGCGTGCTGGCCTGCTGCTGATGTGCCCCGCTGTGCCGAGCCCCGCAACGCTTCTCCAACCCGCGGGGGCTCGTTCCTTGCTTTCTTTCTTCTTTCTCCCGCTTTCCACCCGGCAGGCCTGGCGCTGGAGCTGGCCTCCCCGCTGCTCCCCGGCGCCTTTCTGCTGCTGGCGTGCCTGGGGTCGCTGGCGCGGGCGGTGACCGGGGTGGCGGGCAGCGCGACGCGCATGGCGCTGACGCAGCACTTTGCGCTGCAGCGCAACGCCGCAGACATTGCCGCCAAGGAGGGCTCCCAGGTGGGCTGGCAGGAGGCCGAGCGAGCAAGGGCTGGAAAAACGCTGGGCTGGGCTGGGCCAGGCTCCTGAGTACCGGCTGAGCCGGGTCGGGCGGGATGCTGCGCGGCGCCGCGGCGGCTGCCTGCGCCACGCCAACGGGGCCAGCCTGCCCCTCCCTGCGTCCTGCTCCCAGCGCCGCCCGCGAGCCTGCCCGCTGCCCATGCTGGGCACACCGCAGCCTCTCTGTTCAATCGCATCATACCCTACCTGGCTGCTCCTTCCTTCGGGCGAGACAGCAAGGCCTAATGCTGGGCGCCCAGCGGCCACAGCATGCCAACCGCATGCCACCCGCGGGCCTGCAGGAGACGGCGGTGACGCTGGTGGGCATGGTTCTGGGGATGGCCTTCATCCGGGCGGCGCACGGCCTGGAGCCGCTCATCTGGTCGGCCTTCTGGGCGCTGACCGCGCTGCATGTGTGGGCCAATGTGCGCGCCATGCGCTGCCTGCGCATCGCCTCCCTCAACCAGGCCCGCCTGGGGCTGCTGCTGCGCCACTACCTCCGCACGGTGAGGGCGGTGCCGCGCTGGCCGCGCCTGGTGCCGCGGCAGGTGGTGGCGGCGGTGGCGGCCGCAGGCTGCGGCCGCTTGCAGCAGCAGCACCGCCGCCCTTGCTGCGGCGATCCCCACGCCTGCACGGCAGCTGCAGGGTGCCTGGCGCGGGCGTGCCCTGACCCTCGCACCGCGCCTGCTGGGGCGCTGCCTGTCTCTTGCCCTTGTCCCACAGGGCGAGGCGCTCACCCCGGGCCAGATGGCGGCAGAAGAGAGCCTGGTGCCGCCGCCGCTGCAGCTGCTGCTGCGCCGCCTGGGGCTTGGCTTTGGCGGCGTGCCGCTGGTGGCGGTGGCTCCCCGGCTGGCCACACTGGTAAGCAAGGAGGCGCGGGTGGCATGCCAGCAGCTTCCGTGGCTGCTGCCGCGACAGCAAGGCGCGCTTCCGTTGCGGCTCATCGGCAGCATGCCTCACCACTCGCCGCGGCCTGCCCCCTCCTGCCTACCGCAGCGCCCGGCCATGCAGCAGCAGCTGGCTGCGCGCATGCAGGCTGCAGCCGAGGAGGAGGACAAGCGGCGGCGGCGGGGCGGCGCCGCGCAGTATGTGGCTGCGGCGGCGCCAGGCGGCGGCGGCGCCGGGGCTGGCCCTGATGCTGTGGCGCTGCTGCGGCAGGGGGCGGGCATGGGGGACGTGCTGGAGGCTTACTGTGCCTCATTGATGCTGGCTTGGGGCGCCCAGCTGTCGGGCCGCGGCCCATCCAAGCTCTGGCCCGCGCCAGCACAGCTGGCCCTGGCCGACGTCGAGCGCTGGCTGGCGGCGGCGGCGGCGGCGGCGGCGGCGGGGCGCGGCCGAGGCGCCGCCCCTGGCCCGGGCGGCGGCAGCTACGAGGGCTTCCTGGCGTCGCTGGCGGCGGCGGGCTGGGCGCTGGACCGCGTGGCGCTGCTCCAGGGGCCGTCCCGCCTCGCCTGGGGCGCCGACCTGCGCACCGACTGAGGGCCTGGACGCCTGTTGATGCCAGCCTGCGCCGTGTGCCGTGTAATGTCGCTCGCTGTTGCACCTGCTGGCATGTAGGAGCGAGGCGCTGCTGCGTTGGCGCCCAGCAGCCTCCTGCCGTGGTGCCCGCCTGGCGCGAGCGCCGCCACAGAGAAGTGTAGTGCCTCTCCAGTCCGCGCTCCGATGTCATTCAATCACACTGCGCATCTACAGAGCCCACCAAGCCAAGCCGCGTCTCGGCGTTTGTCATTCTCACTTGAGCGTAACGATACATTGAGCGAGGATGTCTGAGGAGCTGGCGGTGCAGTTCCTGGAGGCGTGCACGCAGCACAGGGACGAAGCGGGGCTCGCCTTGCAGTTTGACACCACCGCACTGCCGGCGCTCTGCGACGTGAAGGCGGTGCCCGGGCGGGTGTCGGCAGTGCTGCCGGTCACCCCTGCTGTGTCCAACCGCTACGGCACCCTGCACGGCGGCTGCATAGGTCAGCGGGACTGGGACAGCTGCACGTTTTCCCCGGCGCACGCTTGCCGAGCCCCCGCTGCTCTGCTGAACAACAATCTTGCCGCGCTGCCGCCTCATCACATCGCCGCCGCCGCCCGGTCCCTATCTTGCATGCTGCAGCTACCCTGGTGGACACCGTGGGCTCTGCGGCGCTGGTCACAGCCAGCCCCAAGGGCGGGGTCAGCCTGAACATCAACGTCAACTACCTTTCCAAAGTGGCCACGGGCGGCAGGGTGCTTATAGAGGCACAGGTGAGGCTCCCGGCTTCCCACTCTCAACACGATTTGTTTTTGGTCGCGCGCAGGCAGGCGGTGTGGTTGTCGGGCAGCACCCATGTCGCAGAGTGACGTGATGCAGGTGGTCAAAGTTGGGAAGACGATCGCAACCATCGAGGTGTATCTGCGGGACGAGGCCAGTGGGGCGCTGGTGGCGCAGGTGGGGCAACGATCGCCTGCCCCGCTTGCCCCGCTCCCCGCCGGTTGTGCCCGCCCTGCTGCCTGCTGCTCGTGCCCGCCCTGCTCCTGCTCCCATGGCCAGGCACATGCTCCGGCGCACTGCAGTGGCACGAGCGCTTCAGACTCGGCCGATGCAGCAGCCCTGGCTGCTTGCAACACTCACGTGTTCCGAGTGTGTGTGCGTGTGCTGCGCCTGCAGGGCACACACGTGAAGTTCATTGCAGAGCAGGAGCCCACCATGGCGTCCCTCCTCTCGCACCAAGGGCAGCAGCAGCAGCAGCAGCAGCAGCAGCAGGGAGCAGCGGCAGGCAGGCGGACGCCCGGCATCCGCTCCCGCCTGTAACCCCCGCCCGCCGTGCTGTGGCTCAGCATCTTGCATCTTGCTGCTATCGCTTCCTGCTATTTTTCTCCCTCCCCTAGCCGCTGCCTGCTGTCGTCTCCTCCTCTCTTTCTCGCTGCCTGCTCAACCCTCCTCCCTTCACTGCCCCAATCGCTCCCATCTCACATTACATCAGTCTTGAATGCGAGACACAATCATCATGAGCCAGAGGCAATGCAGGCGGGGGGCGAATTGCTGAGCGGCTGATGAAACGGCGCATGGCCCGCATGGCTGTAGAGAAGCAAAGCGGCTCGCCTGGGCCTCCTCTGGCTCCTGGTGAACGTCTGCTTCCAGGCGCCAGCGCGCGGCAGCCGCCCCTGTGCAGCACATTGGCAGCTGGCCGGAGGCAGCCGGCGCAGCCCGCCGCCCCTCGCCACCGGCTGTGCTGTTGCCAGGAAGCTGCCAGGAAGCTTTGGGGCTCACCAGGTGGGGGTTGGCAGGCCTCCAGAGGTCCACCCTGAAAAGAAAGCAATGCAGGTCGATGCGCGCAGCGCTCAGCATGCGGCACAGCTTGCCTGGGGGGCTGGCTGACTGGAGGGGCCGACGCAGGCGGCCCCGCCCTTGCGCAGGCGGCCCCGCCCTTGCGGTGGCATTCCAGCAGGGACAGAGGTGGCCAGCGCGGCAGCCGCACGCTGAGACAGGGCACCGCAGCGCTTGCACTGACCGGCGCGCACGAACGGAGACCCCGCCAGCCGGCCTGGCGGGGCGCGCGGCAGGCGGGAAGAGGCAGGCTGGCGGGCAGGCAGGCGGGCAGAGTGCGGGCTGGCACCGCCGGCGTACCTTGCGCAGCTAGCTGCCTAGCCACTACACCTTAGGCGGTCCTCAGGAGGGCGGCGGCGTGCCCGCTGGCGGCCCCGCCGGCGCAAAGCCGGGCATCCCGGGAGGCCGCATGCCCATCTGCTGGTGCCCAGGCGCCGGCAGCCCTCCCATCATGTGCTGCTGATGCTGTGGCGGGCCTCCCATCAGGTGCTGGTGTTGCTGCTGCGGCGGCTGGCCCTGCGCGCCGGCCAGCGTGGGAAGCAGGCAGGCAGTGAGGGGCACGGCGCTCGGTCTGGGTCAAGCACGCAGCGTGGTGGCCGCCTCCCCAGAGCCCGCCCTGCCCGCCCTGCTGCTGTCCTCTCATGGAGCAGCTGTTGTGTGCATGCAGGAGCAGGTGGCTCAAGCTGCACACAACGCAAGAAGCCCCACGCGATCTCACAGACACAGCCACGCACCTGGTACATTGCTCCTGGCGGCGGCGCCTGCTGCTGCAGCGGCGGCATGCCCGGCGGCGGGCCCATGGGCGGCGGCATGCCCCCGGGCGGCGCCGCCTGCTGGCCCGGATGCGGCATGCCCGGCGGCGTGCCGCCCATGCCCGGGTGCTGTGGCGCGTGCTGCGGCGGCGGCATGCTGCCAGGCGGTGGGCCGGGCGGCTGGCCCTGCAGGGTGGGGAACGCGGGGCATGTATCACTTCGCGGGACAGGAGAGATGCGCGGCTGCGTGGATTCACTTGCAGTCCTGGCCAGGGCCCTGAGCCAGCCCGGATCAGGCAGGCGGCAGCCAGGATCAGGCAGGCGGCAGGTACCAGGCAGGTACCAGGCAGGTACCAGGCGGGTACCAGGCAGCACAGCAGGCGGCAGCTCACCATTGGGCGCACAAAGCCCTGCATGGGCGGCGGGCCGCTCATGCCGGGCTGCTGCGCCGCCTGCATCGGCGGCGGCGGCCGTCCCATGCTTGGTGGGGGCGCCCCCGCAGGAGGCCCAGAGGGCGCACCCATGAACTGCGGCTGCTGCTGCGGCGGCGGTGCCTGGCCCTGCAGTCAATCAAAAAAGGTTCCCCGCGCCGTCATGTACAGATCATGCAGTTCTTGCGGTACTGCATATCGCCACATCCTCGACCTTCCCTTCCCTGCCAAACAGCAGAGCAGTGGCGCTGCCAAACGGCTCCCACGGCAGGCTTCTGCTCCCCAGTGGCAAGCGCATGCAGAGCAGCTCCTCCGCCGAAGCAGCCAGGCACGCACCGGGGCGGGCGCCGGCGGGCCACCGGGCTGCGGGGCCGCCGCCGCAGCGGGCTTGGCTGCAGCGGCCGCATACTTGGGCAGCGACGCGCGCCGCTCTTCCTGGCTGCACTGCTCGTTCGTCCACACCAGGCCATCCGTGCCGGCGGCGGCCCCGGCTGCCGCCGGCGGGGCCGCGCCCGCGCCGGCGGCGGCGGGGAACAGCGCGCCTCCCGGCGCCGGCGGGCCGCCCGCGGCCGGGAACAGCGGCCCGCCGGGGGCGCCGTGCGGCGGCATGCCGTGCGGCGGCATGCCGGGCCTGCGGGGGGAGGGGGAGGCACATGCAGCGCTGCGGTGGGAGGCCTCAGCCAGCCACCAGGTCGGAACCGCTGCGGCTTGTTGCATGCAGCTGTAGGGGCGAAGGACTGGACTTCTTCAGCAGAGCTCCTTCACTTCGCTGTGCACACAGAAACTCCACAGGCAGGCCGGAAGGCAGGGTGGGCAGGATTGGCAGGGGGGCAGGCGGCGCCACGCACCTGTACCCCGGTGGCGGCATGCCGGGCGGCGGCATCATGTGTGGGGGCGGGCGCATGCCGTAAGGGTGCATCCCCGGGTGGGGCATGCCGTACGGGTGCATGCCCGGCGGCGGCATACCATAGGGACTGCAGGTAGGCAGGCAGGCGGGCAGGTGGGTGCAGGCAGCTGTCAGGAAGGCGCAGCCCGACAGCGGGGCAGCCGAGCCGGGACGCGTTGCCCCGGCGTCGGCGCCGGCGTCGGCGTCGGCGCCGGGCTGTCTGCCACTCACGGGTAGCCTGGGGGCCCGTGGAAGCCGCCTTGCATGCCCGGGTGGCCCATCATGTGCGGTGGCGCCATCCCAGGCATCATGCCGGGGGGCGCCATGCCAGGTGCCGCGCCTCCGGGCACGGCGCCGGGTGTGGCCCCACCCGCGCCGCCTCCGTCGGCCGGCTTCTGCCCCGGCTTGTACGGCGGCTGCTCCCCGGGCTGCATGCCGATGGGCACGCCTGCCATGCCAAAGATGTCCCAGGCGGGGTCCTCGCGCCCATCCAGGGCCGCCGGCACCGCGGTCAGCGCGCGCTTGTGCACGTTGAGGCAGTGCACCGACAGCGCCTTTGCGGTGTTGAGCTTCTTGGAGCACTCGGGGCAGCGGTAGTGGCGCTCGCGCTGGTGCGTGATCAGGTTTTGCTCGTCCTGCAGGCGCGTGGGCGGCCAGGCCAGGGATTGAAGGCGCTGCTGGTGGGCTGGGGTGTGGGGGCTGGCGCGACGTAGGGCGGGCAGCGGGGTGGCGGGGCAGCGGCGGGAGGGGTACCCCGGAGCTGGCACCGCGGCTGGCGCGACGGCCGATGCTTCTGTCATGTCAACATCAGCGGAGAGTGCAGGAGCGGCGGTGAGCCAGCCGCACGGCGGCATCAGCGGGATGCGGGCCCCATCACTGTCCTCAAGGCTGCATCGGGATCTTCCCACCTTGAACACGCGGTCGCAGTAGAAACACCAGGTAACTTCCTCCTCCTGCTCCTGCTTTTTGCGCTTGCGAACCATGTTGCACTCCTACTGCCTCCCCAACTTGGCCCTGGGTGTTGATAGAGTACCCTGTGCTGTCCGGAATGGCAATCGGCGCGTTGAGGGCGGGGGACAGGTCATTGGAAAGTCGGCCCATGAGGAAAACTGCCTGGGGCGCCCTGTTGCGCCCGTTGGCGTTCCTGCCATTGCGGCTCTTCCCAAATCGGCCCAAATTTCCAGCCGCGCCTCCCAGAGCGCCGAGCGTTTCTGCCGCATGTTTGTCTTCCCCGGCCATGGGGTCCCCCGCTCCCTGACTTTTAGGTTGTAGCATTTTGGATCGGTAGTTTGCATTCGTTGACGTACCGAGGGAGAGGATGGGGTCCGCCTGCACCAAGGGCGTCAAGTCCACGGCGACCGTGTCGCCCGCTCCCGAGCCTGCCAGGGATCCACCCGTGCGCTCCTTGAAGCGGCTGGACACTCCCGGGCCGGGCTACAGGTCCAAGCGGCGGGGCTCGGTGAGCTGGCGGCGCACGGCGGCAGCGGCGGGCGGGCACAGCGCTCGGCTGCCTGCCAGCTCTCACCTCCTGCGGCCTTCAGGAGGCTGCGACGGATGCCCCGGGATTTTCGCAAACCCATTCCTCACCCAGCAGCCTGCCCCTCCCTGCCCTGCATTGAAGGTATCTGCCGAGCCGTCGGGCGGCCGCGCCAGCCTGCCGCCCACCAGACAGTCCATCGCCAAGCTGGCGCACTCCACGCTAAAGATCCAGGAGCTGGTGCGCAGCACCCTGCTGTTCAAAGGTGGGTGCTGGGGCTGACGCGCTGGGCCAGGAAGGAAGGGCAGCAGCCTGCGGCATCTGCATCAACGCCTGCAGGTGTGCAGCATGCGACACTCGGCCCAGAGCCAACCAACAGCTGCCCCGCCGGCCCGGTCCTGCATCCCCGCCTGCCTGCCCGCCTGCAGAGCTGGACGAGGAGCAGGAGGCCTGCATCATCGACGCCATGTTTGAGCGGCGGGTGGCGGCGGGGGAGGTGGTCATACGGTAAGCACTCCCTTTGCATGCACACCTGTCCGCCGCTCCGGTGCCATCTGCTAATGACCATGACGGCCGCACCCATCCAGACCTCTACCCACCTCAACCCTCCACCGCTGAGCAGGCGGCAGGCCCCCGCATCCCGCCAGCTTGCGCCGCCGTGCAGCTAAGCTGCGTCGCGCCGCCGCCGCAGCGGCCGCCGCCGCCGCCGCCGAGCGACCCGCTGGCTGCTGCCTCCTGCAGGGAGGGCGAGGAAGCCGACAACTTCTACGTCATCGAGAGCGGCACGTTTGCGGCCTCCAAGGCGGGCGCCGACGGCGGGCCTCCCGAGTGGGTGACCACGTACGAGGGAAAGGGCGCCTTTGGCGAGCTGGCGCTCATGTACAACTGCCCCCGCGCCGCCACCGTCACAGGTGGGTGGGTGGCAGGCCAGTCTGGTGGCATGCTTGTAGTGGCATGCTTGCTGCACTTGTTGTTGTTGTGGTTGCTAAGCTTGGTTAGGAGCAGGAGGAGGGTGGGTGGGTGGGCGGCCTGCAGGCGGGGGAGCGGCTGGGGTGCAGGGAGGGGCGGGGGGGTTTGGAGGAGCGAGGGG